ATATATATATTATTCCATTAAGGAACATATAATCTCTTCCCACAACCAAACCATCGCCAGAGAAATCCTAGTAAACAACACAGAAATCATCGATAGATACAGCGATAGCAGACGGCTTGACGTTTGCGAGGCACTGCACATTAAGAAGTCAACACCAGCAATCAACAGCCAATTAATGCACAACTATATTCTACCCACCTCAAGACTCCGCTCCAATATAGAAGCATCAAGAAATATGGACCAATAGGCTTTCTACAATCACTTCCATTTCAATACCCATTGTTTCGTGTTCTGTCTTGTGTTGATGAAATTAATACCTTATTAAATACCACCTCACCCCATCCACCTCACTCAAATGTAGATATAAACAAATCGGAGATATGTAAGTTCTATTCAGTTGTGTATGTGTAAAGTCTTTGAAAATGTAATAAGTTTTACGAAACGCGCTCAAGTGTCGCGTCAGACTAGAAATAAAAATGAATTTTGGAGAATTGATTTTTGAATTACCTCCAACAGTGAAAAGAAATGTACGAAAGATTGAGAAAATTCGTGTTAGAATTATTAATCTTACTTTTTCGGTCATATTTAATAATATATATATATATATATATATATATATATATATATATATATATATATATATATATATATATATATATATATATATATACACAGAGGCAATAAAGGACTATAAATGTAAGGTGTGCAAGTAGCCAGCGTCACCCTGGGAATACCAGAGCCAGCAGAGCGCGACCTCTCCCCGCACCAGCAGACCTGCGTCACCTGATGGTATGGGACCCTAGGTGATAGTAACAGACTCAAGTAGTCACTGTTCTTACCTGCCATATTTACCGAATTACGATCATCATGAGAAATCTTTCAGAAGCCAGGACACCTGACTGCTATATTCAATTTCTTTATTATGCACCCAATACCCATCCCGTGGGCGGTGGTGGAAAGGGTTACAGCCCGCTATACATATTGCTTCACGACTAAATATTAACACAATTATACTCAACATTTAATTAATACCAAATACGAATTATATTAATATCAATTATAAAAGCAAGTGTTTATGATTCAGGAGCAGTGCCTTGCTGAGGTCGGCGGCGTGTTGCAGCCGTGTGCTCTGTCTTCACTTGCTTCATGGCTTCTTCTTTACCCACTTGTGTAATGGCTTGTGGTCTGTTTACTAACTTGGCTTCTGACTTGTCATTGGTTGACTTGTTGTGCACTGACTTGCTGACGTCTGTGTTAATAAAGCCAAATGATTTGCTGAAATTAATATTCAGGTTTAATAAGCTCTTTCAAAATAATGCTTTGTAATTTAATCGAATCTTGGCCTAGTAAGTTGGCTAGTGATTTAGCCTAGTAAGTTGGCTAGTGATTTGGCCTAGTAAGTTTGCCAGTGATTTGGCCTAGTAAATTGGTTAGTGATTTAGCCTAGTAAGTTGGCTAGTGATTTAGCCTAGTAAATTGGCTAGTGATTTGGCCTAGAAAGTTGGCTAGTGATTTGGCCTAGAAAGTTGGCTGGTGATTTGGCCTAGTAAATTGGCTAGTGATTTGGCCTAGAAAGTTGGCTAGTGATTTGGCCTAGAAAGTTGGCTGGTGATTTGGCCTTGTAAGTTGGCTAGTGATTTAGCCTAGTAAGTTGGCTAGTGATTTAGCCCGGTAAATTAGCTGTTGATTTAGCAGACTCTACCCTCAGACTCCCACAGTCTCTACCCTCAGACTCCCACAGTCTCTACCCTCAGACTCCCACAGTCTCTACCCTCAGACTCCCACAGTCTCTACCCTCAGACTCCCACAGTCTCTACCCTCAGACTCCCACAGACTCTGCTCTCAGACTCCCACAGAGCTTCACATACTGCGACGGGTCAACACAGACAGACTACAAGTATGGCGAACCATAGGTGAAGGTATTGTGTAGTCCATCGGAGGCCACCACCACGTCTGAGGTCAGCCCGGACCCATCCTGTCCTCCTTGGCCTTCATTCCATGCTCCCCAGTGTTACCATGGGCACTATAAGAACAATGTTACCATGGGCACTATAAGAACAATGTTACCATGGGCACTATAAGAACAATGTTACCATGGGCACTATCCTGTCAATGTTATCAGGGACACAGTCCTGTCAATGTTATCAGGGACACAGTCCTGTCATTGTTAACTTGAATATTATCCTACCAAAGTTACCATGGGCAGTATTCTGTTAAAGTTACCATGGGCAGTACTCTGCTAAAGTTACCATGGGCAATATTCTGCTAAAGTTACCATGGGCAATATTCTGCTAAAGTTACCATGGGCACAATGAGAACAAAGTTATCATGGAACCTATAAGACAACGTATGTAAATCGCTATAAACTATTTTTTTTTACGTGTGATTCCCTAAGTCAAACCCGTATCTGTTAGAACCATAACCCACAGTTTCCACAGACAGCAGATAGTCCTACAATTCACAAACTACACTAAACATTAGCAAGCTCCAACTATTCTATTATTCACTCTATGCTTACAGAGTTCCAGACTCTAAAACAAACCTTAATTTGAAACTCTTTCTATTGGAATGTAGACGAACAATACACAAGAAATAAGTACCTCTTGTATATTCCCTGAGTGACAAACACCATACAAACTCGGTGTGTAAATAAAGGAACGTCAAGTATAGAAATTATCTCCTAACGCAATAAAAATAAATAACATTTTCCTTGTTCTAAAGTACAGAAGCATCTAATTTCTCCATTAGAAAACTATAAATATCAACTAAGAATACAACACGAAGAATATCTCTAAATTGGACAAGTATATACATGGAAAGTTTACACAATAAAAAAATCAACAATCAATCCTCACTGTTATTATAGTGCAATTTTAACACAAAAGACTACGTCAAAATTCTGATACTTTATTGAAATTAAATGTCCCTTGTACTAGTGGCCCTCGTCCAAGAGAGAGAATAGGGAGACAGACAAGGTTAGGACACTTCTGGTCAGGTTAAACCCCTCATATTGGACCATAGTCCAAGCATGAGAACGGCCCGTGGTATTATGGGCTGTGGATTTACGGAACAGGTTACGAGGCAACATAATTGGCGTGAAGTTGTTGGATTGTTTCGAGTGAAGGTTACAGATATATATGAATGGGTGTGGTGGGATAATAGGAGCTGCCTCACAATAGGCCTCCCACTGATTCTGTTTTGTCCCTATTCTCCTAATTTATAATCTGGAGTACTCCGCTCCATTTGCTAAAGAATGCCGGCTAGAATATACCTACTAGATTAAAGTATTTCCTTTACCAATTCTTATTTTCAATCATTATTTCTATATCTTATAGATAACATTTAATGTGCGCGCGCGCGCGTGTGTGTGTGTGTGTGTGTGTGTGTGTGTCTCCAAAGTAGGAGGCCAGACGCCAGAGGCTAGCATCACACAACTTTCCAACATGAAACAAAAGGGAATAAGGGATTGTCAGAGCGGGCGGGATCCGCCTTATATATATATTCTTTCTTTATTATGCACCCCATACCCATCCCGTGGGCGGTGGTGTAAAGGATTACAGAGGCACATAATCGGTTCAGGAACTGAACCTTCTAGTTCGTTTAGCTAAGCAAATAACAATGTTTGACGCCAGTTACAAAATTATCAATGCCGCCTTAGTGCCACCCTTTAACATTTCTATGCTTACTCCAGCCGTTTTTAAGCCCATTTTCATGTTTACTAAAAATAAGATAAATTCATTGGGACAATTAGCCCACTGCAGCTTACCCATCTCCTATGTTCCAGTGTTGACTGCCAGTATGCTGGATGTTCCGTCTGGGTCTAGAAGACAGTAGCATGTAACCTAGTGTTAGTTGGCTCAGTTTGTTTGAAGTGAAGTTCCTTGCTGATGTATAATTTCTATAGTCATTATATTCGTCAATCATTTCAATGTTGTTTGTCAGGGTACCTCCGGTGATGATCTGGTTGTATGTAAAGATCATATATTCCTTGAAGGGGCCTTGTGCTTACATCCCACTTAAGACTTCGTCAGAGACCAACACAAGGACAGGAATGGCAGCCAAGCACAAGAGAGCCAAATAGTTACCAATTGACCCAAAAACATGATCTAGAAAAGAAATGTGAATGAGGAAAAGATAAAAAACAACGAATGAAATAATTCATAAATGACAAACATTATTCTACCCAAATGTTTAAACATATGAACCAAACTATTATGAAGCAAACTAAAAAACGAACACTGGACAACAATTATGCAGAGGGAACCACTCCGCCTAAGCAGGAGACGGAGGTAGGCTCCACAGGCGACATATCTATAGCTCACAATATCAAAATACCAGTTTAAACGCTTTCGTGTAATTCAGCACATCTTCAGAAGCATATACCAAGTACATACTTCTAAAGTTGTCTTGAATTACACGAATTGTGCGTGTGCGTGTGTGTGTGTGTGTACACTCACAGAATTTCTATGTATAGTGTGTGTGTGATCTGTATTCGAAAACTGTACTTGTAGTGTCAAGCATTAGCACACAGATCTCGCTTTTCCGGCAGCGGGTCATTTAAGACAATGATTCCCTACCTTCACTTTCTGATTATACCTCCTTCCAAAACTGTTATGGAATAAGTTTCCAGACTTTCCTCTTGCGTGCGTGGCAGTTTGTGTGCCTGCCAGAGTGCCTGAGAGTCTGAGTGCCTGTGAGTCTGTGTGCCTGCCAGAGTGCCTGGGAGTCTGTGTGCCTGCCAGAGTGCCTGGGAGTCTGTGTGAGTGCCAGAGTGGTTTGAGCGTCGGCAGCCGTTCTTGTTTGAATGAATCAAATGTTGACCTTCAGAGAAGAATTGCATCTCTTACGAGGAGAATGGTAGTGGAGGAGTGTCCCTGAACGAGGTGCCCAGCCTGGATGGTGGCAGAGTGGGCGGGGCACTGGGAGGGTCACCATTGTCAGGGAGTGAGAGGCCACGTATATAAGGCAGCGGACAACCTTAACACTCATCACACTCCAACATGAAGCTCCTGGTGAGTACTACCTGTCCTCAGGTCCTGAGTCCTGCCTGTCCTCAGGTCCTGAGTCCTGCCTGTCCTCAGGTCCTGAGTCCTGCCTGTCCTCAGGTCCTGAGTCCTGCCTGTCCTCAGGTCCTGAGTCCTGCCTGTCCTCAGGTCCTGAGTCCTGCCTGTCCTCAGGTCCCGAGTCCTGCCTGTCCTCAGGTCCTGAGTCCTGCCTGTCCTCAGGTCCTGAGTCCTGCCTGTCCTCAGGTCCTGAGTCCTGCCTGTCCTCGGGTGCTAAGACAACAACAGTATTTTACAAAAACTGCCGACAAAATTTTCATTCGTTACTGTCTCTTTAAAAAGATAAAAACTTGTTTGCAATATGTATTATCCAAAATACATATTTCATGTTCAGTCAGATATTTTGTAAGGTGTGAGGGAATATTAACTACTTGTTACATGATATAACTTGAATTGTTCAATCTCATTTACAACATGCACGTAATCATTGCACTGTAAATAACAACACTGGCTCTAACAGGAAACCCGTTTACATCTATTACAACAACCAGAAATAGTTGATAAAAAGCTTGAATAAACATTATTGGCTACTTATAAATATGATCTATTCAGAATGAGAGCTTGAGCAAAATTTGCTTAATTTAACTGTAATTTCAATTTGTCTAATAGATACTCTTAATTAAAGAATTATATGTGTATATTAATTAATAAGTGATAACAAGTATAAGGCATTTACGTGTATCTGCGCACGCAAAAAATGTATTCAAAATTTTATATTGTTAGTGGTAAATCTAGTAATTCTTTAACACTACTCTCAGTCATCCTTGTGGCCACGGCTGCCACACTTCTGGGCCACGATTTTGCTCACGCCTACTGGGCCACGAGTCTTCAAGCATTTACGCATTCACTTACGAAGCCTGTACATCGTTCAACTATCATAGTGGCTTTGTTTAAATTTATTAAACAGTGTACGAAAAAAACCTTCGAAACTTCACAACCCGAGGTTATCAAACAACCTCGTAGTGATTTGAGCTCATAAACTGTTTAATGAATATAAAGCTGAAATGATTGTTGAAAGATGTTCAGGTTTCGAAAGTGAATGCATGAATGCTTGATGAATCTTGGCCTTGGTCCTAAACGTTCTCCGAGAGTCTGTTGGTCTGTTTAATGTCATTTCACAGTTACAACACAATACATATTAGTATCATTTACATCTTTTGTCAGGTTGTGTTCTCAGTGATAGTGAGCGCAGTATCCGCGGCCCCACAGGGGTACAGCCTGCCCGCGCCCCCTGGTCCAGCACTTCCCCCTGGAGGACCTCCTCCTGGAGCACCTCCTCCTGTAGGATGTCAGAACGGTGAAGTGCTTCACGTGGACGGCTCTTGTGTTACTCCTCAGGTGGTCAGAAAACTGTATGTGTTCAACGCTCCTGAACACCAGCAGCCCCTGGGCCCCCCTCCAGTAGTCCCACCACCTACAGTGGAACACAACATCTTGTTCATCCGTATTCCCGAAGGTGGTCAAGGCCCTGAGCCCATCGTGGTGCCGCCGCCCAGCCAGAAACACGTCGTGTACGTCCTCAACAAGCAGACCGACCAGGCACAGCGAGTCATCGAGGTCCCAGCACCGCCGCCCAGCAGCCCCGACGTGTACTTCGTCAACTACAACGAGGGAGACAACCCGACCCTCCCCGATGGTACGGACATCCAGACTGCCCTCAGCTCCGCGGTCCAAGGTGATGGTCAACTCATCACCGGCTCCGGGGGAGCCGCTGCTGGAGGTGAAGCTGCTGTTCCAGGACCCGTTGGAGGCGATAGTGGGTTTGGTGTACCTTTAGATGATGCAAGTTCAGCTGGATTCGACGGTAGTGCCGGAGCCGCTGGAGCCCCAAGTGGTGGGTACAGTCCTCCCCCCAGCCCCGTACCCCCACCCCCTGGTCTATATTCCTCCCCATAAGCTTCTTCTCTCAACCCAAGACAACGATCCTGATTTTATTATGACCACAATTTAAGATAATATAATAATTTATAACTGCTGCCTTCTGACCTGTTCTATTTATGAAAATTATAATAATTTATTGTTTCTTGTAATCTGGCATCTCCATTTTGTACAGTCTAGTAGCTTCAGAAATACCATGTGAGTAAATCTTGAAAATATATTTATCATCTATTATAATCAGCCTCATACTTCCTGTCTCAAATCTTTGCTGGAGTTAGTTTGTATCGTGTCAATTTTTTTAAATTTTGCCCCGAGGGGCGAGTTTATTGGGCAGCGCCACTCACCTTGTGAGTGGACACACCGCCATAGCAGCATGTACAACACTCCCCAATAGGAAGAAAACCCGCTGGGTTGTTCATCCTGTCAATATGTATTACCTGTTAATATGTATCACTTCTCAATACGTATCACCTGTGTCACTGGGGGAGAATAGGAACTATGTACTGCAGAGAGGGATGCTGATGACACTGTCACTGCCGACCTCACTTCCTCCCCGCCAAACACACACCGAAACTACGACGTTGGTACAACGTTCGAACAAGTTTTAACACCTCCTAACCAGTTATAACAACCAATATATTAAGTTGTAACAACGTTCTAATACGTCATAAACACGTTAAGCCAAGATGTAACAACTTTATTACAAGTTGTAACAAACGGAAAATAGAGACAGTTTCGGTTTGTGTTTCCAGGGTCCGTCACAGGACTTACAGCTGCGAGGATAAGTCCTCTCTCTCTCTCTCTCTCTCTCTCTCTCTCTCTCTCTCCCCTACACTCCTCTACCCTCGTACTCAAGTCAGCACTTAGGGAGCCAATCGGCCGAGCGGACAGCACGCTGGACTTGTGATCCTGTGGTCCTGGGTTCGATCCCAGGCGCCGGCGAGAAACAATGGGCAGAGTTTCTTTCACCCAATGCCTCTGTTACCTAGCAGTAAAATAGGTACCTGGGTGTTAGTCAGCTGTCACGGGCTGCTTCCTGGGGGTGGAGGCCTGGTCGAGAACCGGGCCGCGGGGACACTAAAAGCCCCGAAATCATCTCAAGATAACCTCAAGAAGATAGCCCCCCCATGTATACCAACACATGAGCACAGAGACCTCAGCAACTCCCCCTGAAGGCTTACTAGGATAGTACTCCGTCCCCAGAGGATAGGAGGTAGAAAGTAACGTGTCAAGGTAAACAGTCCATCCTCCTGTTTAGGTAGTACTTATAGTACCCATGACGACCGTCGTACATATATTGATATAGAAGGTAATTAGAAAGTAGAAATCGGTACCACTGAATTTGGACAAACTGGATAATTTGTTATACTGATGTTGTAAAGAAAACGTAATATAACATAATCTTCCCAAGCATAATACAAGCTATCTGAGGCCTAATATAGTACATATATGTACTATAATAGGCACAGGAATATTTAAGCTTGGTTTTTAGCTATATTTGTTTCCTATTCTACAAAGTGAATAGTACCAAACTTTATTATCTAATTCTCCATTACATCTATGTGTGTACGATAATCCACATAGCTACTAAAAGTACTATCTTAACAGGAAGATGGGTTGAGGTGATTATATGACGACCCAATACTCGGGGTATTCACCTACACACGCCCACTGCTGAGGGAGAAGGCTTCTCCAAGGTTCAGTGATCCAAAGTGGCTCTCCCAGGTATGAGGCTACGCTCCCCGAACTCTCAAAGCTTCTTTCTTCTTACTCAGTGGTCAATAGATAATTGTTTAGGCTTTCGTGTAGGTCAGAGGTGGCATAGATTAAAATAGAAGCAGAACGGAAACACAGTGTTTAAAATTAATATTAACATTTACTAAGAAAATATACACATTCGAAAGCTAGCAGAGGCAAGCTAGTAGCTTGCCTCTACTAGCCTCATTTAATTTCAAAATAAATGGTACCTCGAGCTTCAATAATCGTGAATATCATCGACCGGAAGAGGAGATAGTTCCTAACAAAGGGGACAAGATTTTGGTAAGCCATTTGGAGAGTTTGTGGGATCCATTTCTTACAAACTCTCCAAATGGCTTACCTAAATCTTGTCCCCTTTGTTAGGAACTATCTCCTCTTCTCATTTGACAAATTCTCTTGATTTAGTTAACAAATTGAATAGTGTTCCTGTCACTCCTGATGTAAAGTTAATCAGTTTTGACGTTTGTTCCTTGTTCACAAAGGTACCGGTCGATGATATTCTCGATTATCTTGCTCGTGAACTAATGAGCCATGACTTACCTCTTTCTGCTGATATTATTGTCAGTCTTGTTAAGTTGTGCATTAAAGAATGTAAATTTACCTTTAATAATGAGTATTATTTACAGACTTTTGGAATGGCACTGGGGAATCCTCTATCGCCATTGCTCTCAAACCTGTACATGGAATTCTTTGAAAAGAAATTTGTTTCAAAAATAACTCCTGGAATCATTCCTTGGTTTAGATATGTTGATGATATCTTGTGTATTTGGCCTTCAGATGTAAACACAGACGAATTTGTAGCCAAACTTAATGACCAAGTCACCTCCATAAAATTTACTATGGAGACTGAAATTGATAAATGTTTGCCATTCTTAGATGTGCTTATTCATAGGGAAAACTCTTCATTAAAGTTTAGTGTTTACAGAAAACCTACGAACAATTTATCTTATGTTCATTATTTTTCAGGGCATAAATACAATGTAAAAAAGTCAATTTTTTCTTCAATGTATCTAAGAGCTCTTCGAGTTGTGAGTCCAGAATTCTTAGATGAAGAATTTAAGAATATTGATTCGATTGGTCTTAAGCTTTGTTACCCACTGAATTTTTTGGAAGTTTGTCGTAACAAAGCTCGTCGTACATATTATAATAATGTATGCAGTGAAAGGATTCGCCCAAAGAATGTGTTATGTTTACCATATTTCTCTGGGTTTGAGAATATTGTCAAGGCCTTGAAACTTTTTAATATAGATGTAAAGTTTAGCTACGAAAACACTGTTGGTAAGCTATTAATAAGGAACAGCCCTCGTAGTGATAATTGCGTCATTTATAAAATACCTTGTAAGGAATGTAATAAGTTCTATGTCGGGCAAACATCTAAAGATTTAAAATGTAGAATATCGCAACATAAATACTCTGTAAGACATGGCCAATTGTCTAATGCTTTGTTTGTGCATTTGTCAGAAAAAGCTCACCAAATTGATTGGGAGAGTGCTTCTTCAATAACAAATTGTAAAAGCACCTATAACAGAAACATAATTGAATCTGCTTTGATACAGATCACCAAAGAAAGTAATTTGAATATTAGCAGTGGTCTATATAACTTAGATCCATTTCTAATAGATCAGCTAAAGGGCGATTTAAGTAGAATCATTGAAAAACATTTGTCTCACTAATTTATTGTATATATTTACCTCTTTATGTTATAATCACCTATGCATTATGCTTGTATGTCTGCTGTATCAAATGGGCCATTGGGCTACATCGGATGGGCCAATTGGGTGCATCTGATGGGCCAATGGGCCGTCTGCGTTGTCCAAGTATTGTACCTCACCTTACTTCACCACTCTCTCCTGCCTATTTATACCCAGCACTCGATCTGTAAAATGACCTTCTGAAGATGTATTTAATATACGAAAGTACTTAAGGAAATTTCCTGTTTCATTTTTCCTCCGTGGTCTGACATTGTCATATATATATATATATATATATATATATATATATATATATATATATATATATATATATATATATATATATATATATATATATATATATATATATATATACTCCTAATGCATCCTGGTACATGAAATTGCGTCACTAAACATGCTGCAGGTTCCCTAGGAACTTCTAAAGCAGGAAGCCCTTTCTTATCACCCAACTCACTGTAGTCTCAGCTGCCACACTAACAGTCACTGCTCCACCAACTGATCCATTACGTCAGACATATCCTCGGGCTCCTCTTCTCTATTCTCACAATATCCTTGATGTTGTTGCACATCACTCACTAGGCTCCTCTTCCAATGAAATCTACAAATATCTTCGTCCCTTCGAAGCACTAAGGGACGTGTCCTCGGTGAGGTCCACTACTATCTATAACGTTGATTTCCCATAAGTGAGGAGATGGTGTGTCGCTCCGCAGGACATACCCCCTCCTGGGTAGCTTCAGACCATTGTTGTCTGCACTAATGCGCTACCGCGGCTGAAGACTACAACAACGACTATTGCCTCCAATGGTTGAGCCAACGTTAATCACACGCAATATCATTGTTTATTCACGTTGGTCACTGGTTACTCACTGATTGGCCGATAAAATAACACAACTGTCACTGGCCTTGCTCACAGGGGGAAAAGTTAATAAATCACTCTCTTACCTGTCGTCCTCTTGAATCCTACAAGCCTCTTCAACGTGGCTTCCTCCTGAAGATCAACTTCTGGGAATGCGCAACCCTCTTACAAATAACGTCGCTTTTCGCTCGTATGCGCACTAAGACTACAAATTGTTGCTCTTCATATTAGGCTCAACTTGTGACACAATTAATTGCTAATCTGGCGAATTTTCCCTGTTGTTGTGGCGCGACACCCGTCCTCCTTCACGTCTGCAAGGTCACTGACCTTAGCTTCAATCCCTGAGCCCGCCTCGGCCCCCGCCGATGACGGCACAGCAAAACTATTGCAGATTTGCTGTGAGCCTCACTATCCAGAGAAGATAGGCAGCGAGCCTGTCTCTCTATCCACTCATACCTTTCGTTATACGACCTTGAGGCCGGCGTAGCTGCAACGGGCGAGTACCGGGATGTCTCGCCTGCCGCCATCTTGTTTCTGCTTCCGTCTCTCTTCACTTTATAACCTAAATTCGCCCCAGAATCATGCTGGAGACACTTTCCTCAGCAACTTAAAAGCATTGTTTGAGCCACCTTATGATCTTATTAAGTGGGATAAATGACTCACGAGGCTGGAGAGTACTGCATCTAGACGGCGATCGTAACACCTGTCAGTATGTATCACCTGTAAATGTTTCGCCTTTCAGTATATATGTAACACAATCTTGAGTGGAAATTTTCAAATACTCCCATGCCTACAACAGCAACACATCAGTCTCTGAGGCGGTGAAACACTCACTGCCTCTAGGCCTAACTACGTTCTGGACCCGTGAGGTACTGGGACAGAGTCTTCAGGTGGGGGAGGGGGGGGGG